AAAGACGGAGAAGTGGAGGGAGGAAGGGAATATGAAGAGAGAGGAAGGAGAGGAGGGAAAGAAGGAGCAGTAAAGAGGAAGAGAATGAGAGGAGAAGTGGATAGAGAGGAGTCAGAGAAGGAAAACACAAAGAGAGGAAAGAAAAGAGAAAAAAGAGCTGTGTTGTTTATTGACAGTTTCTCTCTACACACACACACACACACACACACACACACACACACACACACACACACGCACGCACGCACACACACACGCACACACACACACACACACACACACGCACACACACACACACACACACACACACACACACACACACACACACACACACACACACGCACGCACGCACACACACACACACACACACACACACACACACACACACACACACACACACACACACAACACACACACACACACGACCCATCAGGTGTAACGTTGTCGGTTCTCCCCAAAGCCTAAATGCTTCCAGCTATGCGCTTAACTGGTTCCAGCGAGGTTCCAGCAGGTTTAACAGATGGTTTCCAGTGAGAAGTTCTAGAGAATGATTCCAATAGGTTTCAGTGAGAGGTTTCAACAGGTTCAATCGGTTTCAATAGGCTTCGAAATGGGAGGTTCCAGCTATACGGAGCGACAAACTCAACAGAATTTCAGTTAAAACTTTTTCCACTTTCTCGTCAAGGGTTCCAGCTGTTGGTTCCAGTGAGGTTCTTCTGGGCTTCCAGCAGTTTCCAGGAGACACTTCTAACGATACCACGCACCATCAACCAGCCAGAGAGAGAGAGAGAAAAAAAAAAAAAAAAAAAAAAAAAAAAAAAAGAGAGAGAGAGAGAGAGAGAGAGAGAGAGAGAGAGGGTCCAGATTTCAGGCAGAAGTGAGGCCAGGCAATGGTTCCAATAATATTATTCTTGGGTTCCCAGTCGAAAGTTCCATAAAGCTCTTCCAGTAAAGAATCTTCTGGGTTCTTTAGCTGTCTCTCTAAGGGAAGGTTCAGACAACAGGGTTCCAATAAGGTTCTTTTTTTCTCAACTGTTCTAGCGAGAGGGTTCAACGTCCCTTGTTATCATGAACCACCAGAGTTATTCTAAGACAAGATTACAATAACATTCTTTTAAGGGTTCCCAACAGTTTCCAGTGTTCCGCGATTACACACCACCAATAACTAGTGTTTCCAGTTTTCCAGTCAGAGGTTTCAGTTATTACAATAATATATTTCTGTTTCCAACAGTTTGTGAAGGGTTCCAGCAACGCGTTACCACCAACAACAACAACCAGGGTTTCCAGTTTTCCAGTCAGAAGATTCAGTTAGTTATTACAATAATATATTTCGAAGGGTTCTAAGCGTTTCCAGGAGGAGCGAGGATTTCAGCGACACGTTACCTCCACCAACCATCATCCCAGTTTCCAGTTTTCCAGTCAGAGGGTTCCACGACACGTTACCACCACCAGCCATCATCCCAGTTTAAAGTTCTCCAGTCAGAGGGTTCCAGCGACATGTTACCACCACCAACCATCCTCCCAGTTTTCAGTTTTCCAGTCAGAGGGTTCCAGCGACACGTTACCACCACCAACCATCATCACAGTTTCCAGTTTTCCAGTCAGAGGGTTCCAGCGAGCGACCCCAACACCAGGTCAGATCAATACTAGTAAATCCTAAAATCGGTGAATCCATCACGCATACAACCAGAGGGGACTGACCATGAGAGCAGGCAGGGCGAGGCTTACTGGCTCCCACGGGATGCTGGGAGAGGCGCCGCTACTGGTGAGGGGGAGGAAGAGGGAGGGAAGGAAGGGAGAGGGAGGAGATGCTGGGAGAGGAGGAGGTACTGGTTAGGGGGGAAGGAAAGAAGGAAGAGGGGTATGTTGCAGCGGTACTGGTGAAGGAAGGAAGGAAGGAAGGAAGAAGTTGGGAAGGCGGGGTACTAGGAGAGAGAGAGGAAGAGGAAGAGGGGAGGAAGAGGAAGAGGGGAGAAGGGACAGGGAGGAAGGAGGATTCTGGGAGCAGCGGTGGTACTGGTGAAAGGAAGGGAGAGGAAGGAAAGAAGAGGGAGGAATAAAGGTAGAGGGAGGATGCTGGGAGAGGAGGAAGAAGGAAGGAAGAGAGGCGGAGGAAGCTGGGAGCGGCAGTACTGGTGAGGGGGAAGAGGAGGAAGGAAGAGGGAGGAAAAGAAGGGAGAGGGAGAATCCTGGGAGAGGAAGAGGTACTGAGATGGAAGGAAAGAAGAAGAGGAGGATTTCTGGAAAGGCCGGAAAAGTGCAGTGGAAGTGCTAGGAAAGAGAGAGAGAGAGATGGAACAGGAAATGAAAACAGGAAATTAAATGAGAGAATGTGAAAGGGTGGAAAAGGGCTATGAGCTACAGGAATCCATGAACATCGCAGCAAAAAAGGGAATTGGAACAGGAAAGGATAGTAAAGGCTCTGGAACAGGAGGAGGGAGAGATTCTAGAACAGGAAAGAGGAAGAGAGTGATCCTGGAAAAGCGAAGAGGGAAAAGAAGAGGAGATAGAGATTCTGGAGAACGGGAGGAAAAAGGTAAGTGGAAAGGATAGAACGATGCAGGACTTCAAATGCAAGGAAAGGAAAGGAAAGGGAAAGGAGATAGTGAAAGGAACGAGGAAAAACAACAGACAAACAAACAAACAGAAACAGAGACAGAAGTAAATGGAAAGGGCAGACTAAGAGGGGTGGGAAGAGATAAGTTTTGAAAGGGTAGAGGTAAGCAAATAGCTCTACTAGAAAAGGGATGGAAGGAAATGGAAATTTGGACGGAGGGAAAGGAAGAGGAACAAGACGAACAAGAATAACATAAAGAAGAACAGGAACAAGAAGAAGAACAACAACATAAGAACAGGAAGAAGAATAAACAGCAACAGCAAGAACGAGAAGGAGAACAAGAAAAACAACAATACAATAAACAGCAACAGCAACAAAAGAAGAAAAGGAACAAGAGGAAGGAGGAGGAGGAGGAGAAGAGGAGGAGGAAGAGGAGGAAGAGAGGAAGAGGAGGAGGAAGAGGAGGAGGAGGATTAAAAAAAACAGCTCCTGGAAATAAGTGGCAGGAAAATAGAAAGAAAGAGAAAGACGAGAGGAGATGATTAGAAGAACAGAGAGAGAGAGAGAGAGAGAGAGAGAGAGAGAGAGAGAGAGAGAGAGAGAGAGATCAAGAACAATGGAGAAGAGACAAACAAATTACGGATAAGGGTAAGGGAGGAGGAGGAAGAGGAGGTAGTGGTAGTGGGTGGAGGAGAAGGAGGAAAAGTGAGAAAATAAAAGAGGAGGAGGAGGAGAAGAAGGAGAGGAAGAAAGTGCAAAATGAAAGAGGGGGGTGGAGGAGAGCAGGAAGAAAGGGAGGAGAGGATTCAGAGAGGGAGGGAGGAAAAGGGGAGGGAGAGAGAGGAAAATGAGAGAGGAGAGAGAGGGGAGGGAGAGGGGAGTCAGGGGAGTACTGGGGGAGAGTAGACCAGCAGCTTGGTTATGGGGAGAAGAGTTCTCATGAGATAAACCTGGGGAGAGTAAATGATAGATGATATAGAGAAAGGAGAGTAAATGGCGAAGAGATAGAGAGAAAAGGAGAAAAGAAATAATAGAAAGGGAGAGTAAATTGAGGAAGAAATAATAGAAAGGAGAAGTAATGAAGGAAGAAATAAAGAAAGGAGAAGTAAAATGAAGGAAAGGATGAAAGAGAAAGGAGAGTAATGAAGGAAGAAATAGAGAAAGGGAGAAGTAAATGAAGGAAGAAATAGAGAAAGGGAGAATAATGAAGGAAGAAATAGAGAAAGGAGAGTAAAGAAGGAAGAAGAGAGAAAAGGGGAGAGTAAATGAAGGAAGAAATAGAGAAAGGAGAAGTAAATGAAGGAAGAAATAGAGAAAGGGAGAGTAAATGAAGGAAGAAGAGAAAGGGAGAAGTAAATGAAGGAAGAAATAGAGAAAAGGGAGAGTAAATGAAGGAAAGGATGAGAGAAAAAGGAGAGTAAATGAAGGAAGAAATAGAGAAAGGGAGAAGTAAATGAAGGAAGAAATAGTGAAAGGGAGAGTAAATGAAGGAAAGGATGAGAGAAAAAGGAGAGTAAATGAAGGAAGAAAAGAAAGGAGAGTAAAATGAAGGAAGAAATAGTGAAAGGAGAGAAATGAAGAAAGGATGAGAGAAAAGGGAGAGTAAATGAAGGAAGAAATAGAGAAAGGAGAGTAATGAAGGAAGGAATCACACAAAGGGTGAGTAAACGGTGGAATAAGGATAGAAAGAAAAAGAATAAAAATATGGTGATTAAAAGAAGGAAGGAGGAAGAGGGGAACGAAAGATGGAAGTGAACAGAGGGGAAAGGAGAGAGAGGGAAGGAAGGAAATAACCCTCTGGAAACTAGAAGGGGGATCGAGTACTGAAAGGGTTGGGAGAATCCTGCTGGAACCTGGAAGGTATGTGACGATAAGGAGAACTCTGAAGGGGCTTAAAAAAGGAAAAGATTTAGAATTCTGAATGGGGAAATACAATTACTAGTGATCCTGGAATGGAAGAGAGGTTTTAGATATTTCTGAATGGTGGAAAGCTAACCATAGTGGATTGTGGAAGAGGTGCACAACTGTATGGAATTCTGGAAAAGAAAGAAAAAGGAGGATTGCAAAGAGGAGAGGAAAGAGGATTTGAACATCGTGAAAAGGCGACTCAAGGTAAAGGACAGGAAAAGGGACATTATGGAAAGGACACACAAGAAAAGGAAAAGACAGGAAAATAAAAAAAAGGAAAAGGGACACGAGGAAGAGAAGAACCAAGGAAAATGGACATAATGGAAAGGAAAACACTCAAGGAAAAGGAAAGAAACTCAAAGAAAGGGGTCAAGACATCTCTCAAGGAAAAGGAGAAAACAAGAAAAACTTATAAAGGAAAAGAGACACACTCAAGGAAAATCAACGCACTCTATAGAAAAGGGACACACACACTAAGGAAAAGTAACGCACTCAGTCAAAGTAACGCACTCAAGAAAGGAAAAATCGAGATGAAAAAACGCAGAAAAAACTCCAGGAAGCAACAGGGGGGGTTGGAGAGAGAGAGAGAGAGAGAGAGAGAGAGAGAGAGAGAGAGAGAGAGAGAGAGAGAGAGAGAGAGAGAGAGAGAGAGAGACGGCCTGAAGTTTGAACATCTGAATCTACATAATAAGCAGCACTGAAACACACTATGGGGGATAGATACCAATTCGAGTACGTGAAGTAAGAGAGAGAGAGAGAGAGAGAGAGAGAAAGAGAGAGAGAAGAGGATTAGAGAGAGGAGAGAAAAAGAGAAGAGGGTAGGAAGAAAGAATGGGCGAGAGAGAGAAAAAGAAAAGACAGGAGGAAGGAAAAAGAATGAGTGACAGAGAGAATGAGAAAGAAGAGAAGAGCAAGGAAGAAAGAATTAGATAGCGAGAGAGAGAGAGAGAAAAATGTGAGAAAGAGAAAAAGAGAAAAATAAAGAGAATCAATGCGAAGAGAGCAAGAGAGAGGAATACGTTAAAAAGAAAGAGGAGAAAGAAAGAAAGAGATAGATAGATTGATAGAGACAGAC